TTCACATGTGATTTAATTATTTAATGGAAACACATCAATTGCAAAGCTTTACATCTTCAATTTTAGCAGGAAATTTTGACATAGTTGAGCACCGTAGTAATTGAAATGCAGCTAATGTCATGAGAACAATGAAACCAGGAGTGAATCATCTACTTTATGGTTGTTGGTACAAAGGAAAAGCAAAATCAAATCACAATTTTGGTTGAAAAGCTTTACAGTTTTCAATTTTTGGCTGCATTGTTCCGCCCTAGCCTTATTATGTGTTGTCTGACAAACTGCAAATGGGATTTCCTTATGAATTTCTTTCCATAATGGCTTTCTACTCACTTTTCCTCAGATTCTTGTCTTTTGACATGTTACTAATTGTAACAAATTGGAAAGAGGATTTTAGGGATGTGATACTTTTTAACGGCACTCTCTTGAAGGCTGCAAGTAATCCATCAGTAGATTTTTTCCCCATGACTGTTCCGCACAACTGCACAGCTTTTCCCAAATCTATTAAACTTACATCAAGCTGAATACATGAGTAGTTTACGACTTTCAAACTTGGACGTCCAAACAAGGCTGCTCTCATGTTGTCTTGATCACAACATACCACATACCTCCTGATCCTGAGAATCCCTCCAGAGTTTCCCAGCTCCACACCACTGATGAGAGAGCATCAACCACAGGGCAAGCTGGACACAAACCATTAAATATGGATGCATCCTTTTGGACAGACTCATATCTTTTTTACTACACAATAATGTTCTCTTTTGTTGCAGAGTTATGCTTTAACAGGATATTTTGGAACTCAGGTTGCTCCCAGATCAGCATGATTACAATATAAACAGGAAGAACTCAAGACATGCTGGCGTCTGCCAGTCCCAGTTTATCAATAATTAGTCTCTCTGCTCTTTATCATTGGCTTTGGAGCTTAGTAGCCATTCGGGTCCCAGATGACCTTGTTTTTGTTTTAAAGCACCATCATACTGGCTCGCTGTGCACTGCTGGTGCCATGAGGCAGAGCTAATGTGAGAGGGAAGGAGCCTTGTCCTTGCTGCTCTTTACACAGCTGTAAAAACCCGTCCCAGATACTGAGAGGACCCTGGAGGTCGGGTGACGGTCAGTGTTCCAGGAAGATGTTCGAGACATTGTTGCACCCTTGCAAAAGCTATTGCTCGTATCGACCACTTCCTTCCTGTTCCTCTTCTGCTGACCTCATGAATGGACCCTTAAAGAGAAGACTCACTCAGCATGCTGAGGCACTAGAACTGGTTGGATTTTGATATATTAACTTCTGGCTTTAAGATGCTTCACTTCAAAAACAGCTGTCCTTTCTTTAGCACTTCTGACAACATATCAAGACTGGTTAAAGCAGCTGTTTTATAACTTTATCCTGTAATATTTTATTAGGTTTCCTGTGACACTTTTAGTATGATTTTCATTGCAAAATTCAGCAAATTTATAAAAGAAATAACACCTTAGGTGCCCCTTCCCTGCACATTGCATCACTGCTGCATCATTTTGAAGCTGTGGATCATTAATGATAAACGAATAAGAATCCCCAAAATATGTAACTCAATCTATAACTTTTTTTTAAGCATTTAAATCAATTTTATCATCCGCGATTCTTTCATATATTTTGTCATGGTGCAAATTATAAAACATAAATAAATATAAAATACACTTATTTCAATAAATCAGGTAGCTTTTTATGAAAAAAATTATCAAAAACTTAACAATCAACAATATATAATTTATTCCAAAATTTGTTCTAGTGAGAATATGGGCAGCACTGGAAAAACCATCTAGAAATAAGTAAAAACAAATCTTAAATTAAGCGTATTTACTCTTAATTTGAGTAGGTAAATGAGATAGTTTGCCACTGGAATTAGTGTTTTTACTCTTAAAATACGATAATTAGAACATATGCACTTGAAATAAGACAATGCAATTGTGTTTTCTTATTTTAAGTGTGAATTGTCTTGTTCCATTGGCAAAATGTCTCCTTTACCTCCTTAATTCAAGAACAAATGCACTTATTTTAAGAAAAAATAACGTATCTAGATTTCGATTTTTTCCAGAGCATTTTAGATCAGTTGCAGCTGTCTTGACAGACTTTTAAGCAAACCTATGAAGACACTGTTGCAATCATGAATTCTACTAAAGATAAATGCAAGGATGAGTTTTTCTAGATCCTGTTTGGTCATCCGTCCTTTAATCCTGGAGATGTTCTTCAAGTGATAAAAAGCTGACCTGCTAACTGCCTTTATGTGCCTCTGAAGGTTCAGGCCTGACACCCAAGATTTCAGCCATAATTAGTGGTTTCCAGCTGTAGTAGTTGAAGCTGTGAGCTAACTCTGGATCTCTCCTCTTTGGTATGAAAATGATTACCTTAGTTTGGTTTTATTAAACTGTAGTTTTTGTCGCATCCACATATTGATCTGTTCTAAGCATCTAAGCAACGTCTGATGGGCTCATGGTCACCTGGTGACATTGTGATGTAAAGCTGTGAGTCATCTGCAAATTTATGGTAACTGTTGTTTTGTGCTATAATATAAGCTAAAGGTAGCATGTAGATATTGAATAGGAGGGGGTTAAGAATGGAGCCTTGAGGAATCCCAAATATGATTTTACTGGTCTCTGATTTAAAGTTCCCTACTGATACATAGAAGTCTCTGTTCTTCAGGTAGGATTTAAACAAGTCCGTTACAGTACCAGAACTTGATTTTATCAGGAGTAACGCCCTGATGAATCAAGTGATCAACACTATCAAACGCTGCACTGATACAAGCTCTGTGGTTCCTCTACAGTCTGAATTTACACGGATGTGATTGGACACCTTAAAGAAGGAAGTTTAAGTACTTTGGTTAGCATGGGAACCTGATTGGAAGACATCAAAGCAACTGGTCATTGTTATCGAAGGCATTTTACTGTTTAAACACAACTTTTTCAATAATCTTACCGATGAAGTGGAAGTGGAGCTTCGATATGGGCCTGTAGTTCTGCAGGATTCATTTTTCCAAGCTATTCTTATTCAACAATGGTTTGATAATTGCTGTTTTTAATGTTAGATCAATTCAGAGTTGAGAAATTGAGTCTCTGTATGTTTTTAACATGCTTTGTGAAATGGATATCTGACACTGTTATGATAAATACATAAAGGTATATAACACTATAGAGTAAAATAAAGGTGTAAAACTCATAAATGAAATATAATTAGCCAACAGGCTGTGATAATTAGACTGGAACGGTATTTGTTGCAACCATAGTGAGCTACTGGCCTCTTAAAAGAGGAGGACCCAAATGTTCGAAAAATATTTATGATTTTGAAGTAGCAACTTTTTTAACCTTATGAAGCCTGGGTGCCTGAAGTGACGAAACAAAAACGGCTGAAACAAGCTTATTGTACTTTTGGATTATTATAATTTTTTCGTCTTGAATTCAAGTTTACAGTTTAAATCCTAACCCACTCCAGTCGGATGGGAAAGATTTTTTTTAAAACCATCCCGCTGAGCATGTCAGATGAAGAGAAGTGTGTTTGCATCAGCCTGGGGGTGGATGTAATTACAAACATTGTTTGAGCAGAGCCTTAACCAGATCCAGGCATCACATTCATCATGACAGTTAACGTCTTTGTTTGTGCAAAGCTCAGCCGCAGCAAACATCTCAGAGGCCTCTGCCTCATTTTCTTCCATGTATGTTAAACGGAGCATGATTGTACAGCAGCGTCGGAACAACAACAAAGAGCTGCGCCTGTCATCCTGACTGGCAGGCACAAGCTGTCTTTGATAATTTGTCCTTGGGTTATCTATTGGATGATCCTACAAAGAGCATGCTGCAGAATTCTGAGAGGTCCCCCGTCTTCTTTGTGGTCTCTGCAGTTCTTCACAGGTGTGCAAACTTTTACATTTACCCCAGGAACGAGCCACTTAGCCGCTGCACGTCCTCACTTCAAGCAACACCAGGCAAGCAGATGAATAATTGACGTTTGCAGTCTGTACTTGGGTGAATTTTAAAGCTGTATTCTGCAGAGACTCTAAATGGTGGGGGGTGGGGGGGTGCGTTAATCATTCATGGGATGCTTTTACTCACTTTGCTTAAGGTCACTGTCCTTACGACCGACCGCTGAACAGAGGGAAAGTGGCAAAAGGAAAAGAGTGAAGATCAGGTGCATAGAGAAATACTTTAAATAACTTAAGCTTTAGAAATGCTGTTTTTTTTCTTAATTGTATTGCATTTAAGCTCATTTAGAGCACCATTGTTGAATTAATCAGTGTTTAAAGTGAAGAGTATTTAACCAGATTACTGAGCACAGGCCAATGACTTCTAACCTGACTCCGCCAGATGGATTTGCTCCGCATATCCATCTGGAAACCTTCCGTTGAAGTAATTTTGGGAAGGGGAGAAAATACTGGTTAGCTGATTGGTCTATGTTGGTGATAGACGGGCCAAATAAACCAATCAGATCGACGAAGCATATGACGTACTAACGAGCAACGACGAAAACACAACCACAAGCCAGTCGGGAGAAGAGCCAAAACATCTTTTCCTCTGAGAAAAGCCTCCAGAGCAGTGTTTTGCTCTTCTTTCAGTGAAGAATACTCTGTAATTCCGATAAAACTTGCTCGATAGCCACGCTAACGCTAGTTTCATCGGCTGAAGCCGCCATGTTCTTTGGACTGAACTGTCGCGCTTCTCGTTGCGTCACACCTCAACCCGCCTCAAAGCCAACGCTGATTGGACGTTCGTTTGGTGAACGGCTCCAAATTTTCTTTAACGGAGAGTCTCCAGACTGATTAGCGAGTGAAATCTTGAAAGCTCGCGAGATCAGGATGGTCTCACGAGGCTAAATAACTTCTTCCACAAGCTGCGAAACTTGATTTTTATTGGAAAATAGACAAAAACTGGTTATGGTGATTTATTTATTGATTTTTTTTTAAGTGAAACTTCTGAGAATTCTGTTGTCAAATGTGCAGTTCAAGTAAATATATTATTTCCTCTTTATCTTCTCTTAGGGATCTGATGCCGAAAACCCTGGAGGGCCAGATCACCATGGAGAAAACTCCCAGCTACTTTGTGACCAGAGAGGCACCGGCGAGGATATCCGCCATGTCCAGGGACACCAAACTGATCGTGGTAGTGAGGGACCCTGTCACCAGAGCCATCTCAGACTACACGCAGACTCTGTCTAAGAAGCCCGATATTCCCTCCTTTGAGAGTCTGACCTTCAAAAACAGGACTACGGGGCTCATTGACACCTCGTGGAGCGCCATCCAGATCGGCATCTACGCCAAGCACCTGGATAACTGGCTGCAGTACTTCCCCATGGACCAGATCCTCTTTGTTAGCGGCGAGCGTCTGATCACCGACCCGGCCGGAGAGCTGGGCCGCGTGCAGGACTTCTTGGGCCTCAAGAGGATCATCACAGACAAACACTTTTACTTTAACCAGACCAAGGGATTCCCGTGTCTCAAGAAGGCAGAGGGCAGCAGCAAGCCTCACTGCCTGGGAAAAACCAAAGGGAGAACCCATCCGAACATTGATCCCGAGGTGGTGCAGAGGCTACGGGACTTCTACAGACCCTTCAACATGAAGTTCTACCAGATGACCGGGCGTTTCTTTGGCTGGGATGACTGAATGTCTTCGTGCCGGACTCAAACTGAATATGGTGCTGCTGCTGTGCAGCTGTGGTGCGGGCAAGCTGCAAAAAGTCTCACATTGAACTGCAGAGTTTAAAACATCCCTAATATGTGCTGCTAATTTTTTGGGGGAAATTTTGCTTTTTCTTCCTTCATTTACATGATAAAAATTACACAGTGAAAACAGATATTACACAAAATCAAACATTAACAGAAAAATGTTACATCTATTAACAAATCTAACAAAAGCTTCACAAGATTTCAAAGCATTACTGCCAGAATCACATGTGTTATGGTAAAACACATGCTTGTAATGACCAGTCATTCTATCTCTACTGAACCCTGCAACCAGGCTGGATCTGCTGAGACCCCTGCTGCAGAAAAGGCGTTCAAGAGCTAAGAAGTTCACATAGATTTCCACTGTTTTGAATTTCTAGAGCCGCATTAGCAGTAGCCATTCAAAATTCTCCCACTTTCCTTAATGGGTACTTGGCTGATCCCTGGCTGATCCCCTACAATTCCTTTTTAAAATCAATGTTTGTCCTTAAATATTCTTTCTTTGATTTGTGGACATTAAGATCTAGGGCTGGGTAAAAAAAAAAAAAAAGAATTGATTCCTTTACATTTTTGCAAAATCGATGTCTAGGGAATGAGATCGATTAGTTTTATAGTGATGTGCGTGACGTTCACATTCAAATGAGTAGGAAAGATGCAGTCAAGATGACTTCAAGGCAAACAGCTGCAGATAAAGACTAACTAAAGACATTAACAAATGGGGGCTAACCAGCAAACACCCTGTAGTTGTTACAGACAATGCTGCAAATATGGTTTGTGCAGCAGAGACAATGCAGCTCATGCATGTCTGCCGTGTCACGTCTGCTGCTCGAGTGAGGCTTCACTTTTTTAACTTTTCACAAACAACTTTGCACTTTTGAGACAGTTTTATTCACATCTCAAGTTTAAACTGTCTGATTTACAAGTTTGCACTTTGTGTTTTATGTGACAGGAAAAAATTAAAATACATGAGCATTTTGAAACACAGTTTAACCGCTTTCATTATTGTAAAAACAGATTGGATCGAAATTAATCGATTTAGAACCGTATGAATCAAAATCCAATCAATTCAAGACTTTGGCAAAAATACCCAGCCCTATTAAGATCTAAAGAGAAATTGTATCTCCTGGTCAGACTCTTTAATTCAGTGAAAGGGTGGAGTCAGAGTAGAAAAATATGCACGCCCAGGAGAAGGCCTGTGGCTGGAAGTTGGAGGGGATTTTACTGGAAGCTGCAGGGAAGTGGGCTGCCATTCGGCCATTTTGAATGGCTGCTGTATCATCCATGGCCATAAATATAAATTTTCATCCTCCAGTAGCCCCTCTATTTCCTCTTGTATTTTTTTTTGCCTTTAAGATTTTGCTTATGTGGGTTTGTTGATTTTATTTTGAAATTTAACTGGACTTTTTTCTTGTTCGGTTCTTGACTTTTCCTGTTTGACTAGTAACGGCCAAACTTCCTGTTTTTGGATTCACTTTACTGATCTGCACGGCCTTGACGTGAGTTAACAGATCAATGTAAACGATTTGGGGTTTCTGGCGGCGCCCGCATTGCAGCCGCACCGCATTCAGTGTGAGATCGGCATTGGCGTTTCCAGATTGGGAGTGACAGAAATACAGTGAGGTTCTACAGAGAAACTTAATGGTATGAGAATTTGACACTTTGGGTAGGAAGTTCAATTGCAGTAAAAAAAAAAAAAAGATTTTAAAAATTTTATTATTTATGTTTTATTAAAAACATTGATATATAAAAACACTTAATAGTCCCATTTTCTGTTTTTAAACAAGGGGAGCTGTGTGCAGAACATTACGGCTTTTCTGCTCCAATTTTATGAAAGATCATGAAATGTTATGAATTTAATCAAATTTAACGAAAGTATATCACAACCGTTTCCAAGATCCTGATGGAAAAAAGCATCTTTTGCTCAGCCATAAATTAACTGTAACATTTTTTTACCGGTGGAGGTTATTGTTTGTTGTTAGATGTTTCGCTATCAGAGGCCGCACCTTTCTCGCCTCTCTGCTCTCACAGCTTCCTAAAGCAGGGTTTTCTGAGGGTCGCTCCTGGATGTCAGGTCTCCTGCACCGTTTAGATGTGTCTCCGCTTCAACACACCTCAGTCAAATAATCAGGTCCAGCATGGCTCTGGAGAACTTGACTGGGTGCTGACAAAAAAAATCAATCAAACAATTAATTCAGGTGTGGAAACAGAGACACGTCTAAAAGGTGGGACGGTAATTAAGCTACTCTTTCCTAAAGCATAAATGGGTCAACAAAGAGACCCTTTTTTTTATTTGACTGGGTTGCTTTTTTATTTAAAAATCTACATGCATTTCTTTATTATTTTGTAATATGACCCCTTAAGGTGTATGAAACCTGTCAAACATTTTTCCACCAGCTTTTAATAGCTTGCTGGAATTTCTTCTGACAAAACTGCTGTGATCGAATCAGGGTTGTACTGTAGGTCTTCTTACAAACGTCGTATTGGAATAAGAGCAGGGCCCTGTAAGGGCATCTCCCCTAACAGGCCCTTTGTGGCTGATTTAGCCTTATGCTTGCAGACGGCGTTACTGTAAGGGACAAATTTGAACCATAGATTTTGCTTCCAGACTGTCTTAAAATGATCCTTCAGTATTTTGTTCTTAAAGTTCTTCATAATGAAGCTTTTCTTTTTGAGAAGTTCATCAATTCCTCCTTACAGGCATAACGGCCACAAAACCTCATGCTTCTTCCCCGCTCTTCTGTTGGGGTTCTATTCTCAGGTTTGCAAACATCATACTGTTTCGTCCAAATATAACCACAGTCCTCATGGCCAAATCATATTTTTTTGACTAACATTTGGAAGACCTTTACAATTTTAGCGTTGCACAGTTACCAGTATTGGGGCCCCGTCTAAATGGTGGTATCGGTATTGGCGAGTACTGATAAATAGGGCACCGATACCATTTTCAGATCCAAAGGTTTATTCAACTATTGTCACCGATTCCAGGTAGGCATAAAAGTTCTCCTGGATTCACTTTGTATTAGAGTTTTTCCTGCTTCACAAAGGTAGGCAGCAGCTTGAGAAAGCCATGATGACAATTATTTTACATCTAGGGTATCGGTATGGTATCGGTATCGGCCAATACTGCACAGCCAGTTATCGGGTATCGGTATCAGGGACAGAGCAATAGAGAATCTGATGCTACGTTCAGACCGGACGCAGCAAAATCGCGTCTGCTGCTTCATTTTTGCTGCGTGTACCAGTTAGTTCTGACGCGCGGCTGAAGCAGCTTTGCTGCTCTGCCTGCGTGGTACAAAAGTGTGTCTGACGCGCGTTGGGCGGAGCTACTCTATCCTTTCTCTGCCTTGCAGCTATATTTGCTGTGATCAGTGGGAATAAAGTAGTTTTAATATGTTTTTAAGTGGGAAAATCCACCTGAAAACTTCATCAGTGCAGTCAGTTCATCCAGATTACCATCCCGCCTTCCAATATTATTTCTGTCGGAGCCGCTCAGACCCCCACATACCGGCGGTGGGCTGTCAGTAGGAATCCCATTCAACAGCAGCCTCTGGCCGGGTCGCCTCCTCGCGGTTCACTGCGGCGGCTGGTAGGTGTTTTTCATCTAAATAATCTAAACTGCAGGCACCAGGATAATAAAAGCGAACATATTCTGCCGGCAGATTTCTGCATTTTAAGTTAATTTAGGCGTCAATAAACTGTTTCAGAGGAGTGATCACAGCGCTCTGTGTCATCAGCGATGTGTCTGTCTCACAGCCAGCTCCCAGATCAGCTTCTCTGATTGGTTGATGCGGCGCGTCAAGCAGCAAAAGTTAAATTTTTCCATCTCGAGCAGCAGCGCGTTTACGGCTGCTTCAGCTGCTCAAACGCGTTGCGCCTGCTGCTCAAAACGCGCTGCGGGACATTTTGCTGCGCCTTGACGCGCGTCAACCATTGACTTTGCATGTAAACTCGCTGCTTCTGCTGCGTCCGGTGTGAATGTAGCATTAGAATTTATCTGTTGGGGAGATTTATAGGTTTTTATTTTGAACACATTTGAACACTTGAGAAATATTGGATAAATCATATATTTGCTTTCCCTGTAGTTTCCATATTCTTTGAAATAATACCGTCTGTTTCGAGGATTCTTCAGTCATACTCTTGCTTTTAGATGACAGTAGAATCCAGATGTTATTCATCAAAGTTCACAAATATTTGTAATGGAAGCTCCAAATTAAAGCCCTTGAAAATGTGAGTTTTTCTTTTGACTAAAATGCAGTAAATGTCCATTTGAAGTGTTCCTCTCTCATTCTGAAGTGGAAATATTCACTGGAAGCAGTTAAGTAGCAACACTGGCAGCATCTTAGATAAAAGGGCTTATAAAAATATAGATTTTGGAGGGCTTTTCATTTTCAAATTGCATATCAGATGTTGATTAACTTTAATAAGAAAAATTTGGAGGGATTCTGCTCTATAAGGGAGAGGAGTCATTGGAAACAGACGGTTATGTTTTTAATGATTGTGGAAAAGAAGGGAAAATAAATTGACATTCTCAAATAAGGAGAAAATACCGCATAGAAAACCACCCTAATGCTTATATTTCTTTATTCACAGGCAGATTTTGCTTTTGTGTTGAAAGGTCCAAGCCAGCGCTACTGCCGTAATTTATTGTGTTTGCGTGACCTGAAGAAAACCCAGCGAGGGCTTGATTCCCTGTCTTTTTAGAACGGGAGTCTGACTTGACTGCCGTTATGAAGGCATCTTCTGCCAAATCCTGATTTTAAGTCCAAACTTGAAATCTAGATCTATAAATCAATCCCTTATTTGAGTGCCTTTCATTGCTGCGGTGGTTTAGAGATTCTCAGAATCGAACCTTTTTTACAATATCAAAGATTTTCAATGATCTCCTCAAGGATTCATTTATTTTTCCCCTTTTACGGCTCAGTACCAACAGACAGGTCTCCAAAATTCGACATTTTTTTCTCAGAATGCATTTAGAAAACCGGAATCTAGCCTTCAGCCACACATTTCTGACCAAAACACATTCATGCCTGGGACACAGAACCCGTTTTTTTCTTGAGTTCTATGCAGCATCATACTATTTATCTGATAAATTGAAGAGGAGGAGCTATCTTCTTAAAAATGACCGCCAGGAGCCGCCTGGAGGGCAGCAGTTCTTCCTAAAATATACATATTCACCTATTTTTCTCAAGAAAGGGGCATTAAATGTTTCCAATAAAGCAGAGGTCACGGATTAGCGGGATCCAGACCCCGGTCCGGTCAATAAGTGCAAAAGTAGCAAGTGCAGGATAAATAATGGTTCCATAAATACAGGACGTGGGTATTTCTACTGAATGAGTGTAGAGATGAATACCATTATAAACAGAGATGGCAAAAGTACTCACTTTCCGTACTTGAGTAAAAGTACAGATACTTGTGTTAAAAAATACTCAAGTAAAATA